GCTCGTAGCTATGCCACGTTACATGTTACTTTATACAAGTGTAATGCAAAAGGGCAATCTCACCGATAATTTCCCTTGTTGCATGGAATGAACTCTGGGAGTTCTCGCTCATCAGAAACCTTTGCCGGTCCAAGACATCTACGTCGATAGGCGGCTCGAAACGGAAGAGAACGAGCAAGATCCCGATCGATGCGCAATCAATTCGCTAGCCCTCCCCTCCTCCCCCCTCCCCTGGGAGTGTGCAATCACGTCGCGCATTGTCGCGACTAATTAGCGGGCTCGCGGCCCTTTGCGTGTAAGGTCGTATGTGGCGGAGTTCTGTGGGGCGCCTCGCGGTCTCATGGATTTTTTTTCTCCGCTGGCGTGTCTTCGGTCGCGTTCCGATATTGAGGCTGAGCTTAGCGATCCTTATGTCGACTCCTGCGGTTCCTGCTTGTTGCCGATTAGCTTACTTTAATGTCCGGGATCCTCTCCTGCTCGCCATGCATCCCTCGCGCTTGGGACATCGCTAAGTCCTTTAGTGGCAATGGACGTCGCTTCCTTCTATCTCGCTAACTCCGCGCTCTCCGTCTCCGGCCCGCGATAGTTCCTTATAGAATTCTGATCTTCTTTTCGCCAATGATTATCTCCTTCCTCGCCGATTCTTCGCTCGGCGAGGCTCCCGTTTATTCCACATAAAATAAAATAAAGGCTGGGGATTAGTAAAATAAATCGTAACTTCAATCGACAGCCTCCTGAAGATTTCGCTCGCCCGCTACTCTCTGTTCGAGCCAGGCACAGATCCGCGATTTGTGAGGTCGCTGCGGAGGGTCGCTGCGCGACACTGCAGCGAAACTGCAACGTCACAAGGGCTATCAGTACTTCTAAAGAGACGCGCAGACGCGGTGCCGAGGAAACCATAAGCGATGGGAAAACTGAATGACACTAGTTTTAAAGTCGCGTTTTTATCACATTTGAACAAATTTGGACAGTTATTAAAAGATATTCACGCACGTAAACAGAAGCCAGAGAAACTTTTTTTTCAAATATTTCATGGCATTAATAACCCTGATGAACCGCGTCAGAATAATGATGGAACAGTGAAAATTGCAGTTTCTTTATCGAATATGTATTTCTTCTATCAGTGGCTTATCCAACGTCAATACAAGATTTAAGCCGCAAAACCGCAACCTGCGAACAATCTTCGAAAAGGTGGAGGAAAGAATCTCGCAAAATCTCCGTTGCAGCCTCCGTTATAACCACGAGTGCTGCCGGCGCTGCAAGCAGAGGAAGCACTCTCGATTCGAATATAAGCACCCTCCGAAAAAATTCGTAGTGCGGCAAGAATAGGATACTAATAAAGAACTATCACTCACCGCTAGGAAACAGGCCACCGACCAGGAGTCCCGACCGTTCGCCAGTTATCAGCGTAAAATTCGTTCCGGGTCAATATGCACGTCGAAAATATAAAGCTAGAATTTTTTCATTAGTTATCGACTCGGAAATATCATTTATTAACAACGATACCATGCGCAACTTAGAGGAACTACATTTCAGTATAGAGAGGGAAGCAGAGGAAGTTCAACTCGTCGATGGCCAAACGATCACATTGCCCGGTCACGTTATATACTTCTAATGATCGGCAACCGGGCACATCAGGCACATGTTCCACGTATTTGATTGTGTGCAACGGATGGAGCCTTGCATAATATCAAATATCGGCTCTACGTCGAGAAATTTTTATAATTATGGACGCTCAAGAGCGCGGTATTAATCGGTGTCGATTTATAAATTAAGTTTCGATCAGTCGATTCCGATCTGTAGCTACAAAAATTTCTCGACATAGAGCTGCCGATATTTGATATCGTGCAAGGCTCCATCCGTTGCACGCAACATCAAATACGCATCAAATCGGGGATCCGCCCGATTAAACCAAAATACTGCTCATGAAACTCTGCCATGCAGTCCATAATTGAAGTCGAACAAATGATATAGGATGTTATCATAGAATCGGCAGCAAGTCCGTGGAGCTCTCCGATGATCACCGTCAAGAAAGAAAACAAAATAGATTTTGTATTGATTTCTACCGCGTGAATTAAGTGACCGAACCGAACGCCTATCCGCTCCCGTAACCGCGACACTAGATAAACTGCGCGAAGCACGATATTTCACCACGCTCGATCTCAAGAATGGCTACTGGCAAGTATCATTAACATCGGATAGCAAACTAGTTACTGCAAGTATCTATTCAATCTCGACCATAACACTGGGTGGAGATTTTTCTGCCTCTACCGAGTGTTCTCGGCCGCCGAATATCGCTTCACAGATCTGCGGTTTTGGAATACTCGAATATTTATCGCGCTACAATCTATTCATATTGGCGTATACGCGGATATAGAACGCAATCTGTGTTATCAGCTGCAGAGGGCGCATCAGTAATCACGCATAATAAATAAATATATTTTATCACACATTTAACTTTTGGTAAATAAATGCATTTTTATTAAAGAAATAAATTTAATCAGAATAAAATTTTGTAAATAGAAATTGTATTTTTAATGTTTTGTATCTTAAGTGTTAAGGTATTATTCCGAGAAATTCCGAGTTTCTACAGATTTTTTTAAAATTTGGATATGTTTAAAATAATTTTATCTATATATGGTTAAAATTTTAAAGATTTAATTTCGAGTCCCTAAACTTTATCAATGCCGAAAATGTTCGCCTTCAAAATTTCAGCATTTAACACGTAAACTCTTAAATCAAGTATTGCCAAAGTAATGTTTTAATACTTTGTGGCAAAAATCTTCTACAGATTTTTCTTTAAATAAGTATATAATATAGAAATATTAACCTTATTCAAAAAATGGGGAGGCCTAGAGCAATGCCATTTCTGAATTAGAGTAGTTTAAATTTGCAATTTGATGGAATTCTCCTTCTCGCACGCCGAGCGACGAGACAAGAACATGCTGTTGCCACATGTCTTCAGTGCGACATTTATGCGTGCGTGCGTGCGCGCGTGCGTGCGTGCGTGCGTCGCTCGCTTCAAAAGTATTTCTCTCCAAAGAGCACGCGTGCGGAGAGGCATATTCATAGGTTGTACACGATTAATTTTCTAGCGTGATCGTAGCTTGAGAAATACCTTAATAAATAAACAATTCTTCACATTGAGAGAATTGCTGTCCGGTTTTCCAAAAATTAATATTCTGAAGTTTAATATTCTGAATTCTCTGTAGGAATTGTATCAGAAATTAACCTAATAGGAAAATACTACACATTTTTATTTTCATTAGCCACGTTATGTTGCCTTTATATTTTTCCGTAACAGAAATTTAAATATGAGATAAATATTCGTAGATATACGTTGCATAGCGGTAAACGGAAGAATTATGGTCTGATATAATATTGCCGTATTGTGTTTTTGCTGTGTTTTTGCTGTTACTTTTTAAGATCGTACCACATGCTTGCCATGTTTTTACCATCATGCCGTGCAAGCATATAAATTCGATTTCTGACATTTGCCAGTATCACATATAATGATATCACATTATATTCAATTTTGGTTTAGTTTCTGGTGATATGTATTATATATTATCTCAGTATGAAATGTTCAAATTGTACTGTTTTTATGCCAAGAACTTCTATTCTTAATTTTTGCAAATTTTTTAATTAATTTATCTTGATATTGAAACTGCTCATTCTCTGCTACATTTTTACCGACACTAACTGAGATGGCAAATCATGTTCGGTTACTATTCGAGTTCTGCCAATAGTATGTAGTACACAAATAGTAATACATAATCTTGGCAGTTTTGGCTATCTAGGTAGGTAGAGATCTGCCCCTGTAAAACACAGAACGTTGAAAGAATGCTACTGAGATGTTGCAATGTTGAATGTTGATGTGTCAATGTTTTATCAATGTTGTATTTATATTGATTTTTTTTTTATTGATTATTAATGTTGTTGCAATGTTGAACAGTATTGAACAAATTGAACCACAAGTTGAATTTTTATTGATTTTTCCACATTGATTGTTGATGTTGCTGTAACGTTGGAACGACATTGAATAAATTATATATTGAAATCTATTTTATTTTGTAAAAAATAAACAAAAGTAAAATGTCATGTAAATAGAATTTATATAGCTATTTACATGTCATGTAAATAGAAAATTTAAATCATTTAAATTGATCTTTTAACGAAACTCATTTCTAAGCGACATATGTTTATGTGAGAATCGGCAAGCCGCGCTTGCAGAATGTGATATTGTTTGTGCTGACCAGTCCGATGTACGACGTCGACTCGTGATCTTTCTACATATCTATATGTCACAGTTATATATTCACTAACAGTGTTCGTGGATCATTGAAGCAGCAATTTCTGCAGCAGATTGCAGAGGTTCGGCCATTGGATGGGATACAAGATTGGATGAGTTTCTGCTTAGAAAAATAAGGAAACTAATTCCCAAATGAGGGAAAGCATTTTTTTTTTCAATTATAATTTTATCGTGTGTGTTCCGGAATATGATATTAATCACACACATAATAATATTTAAGTATTTTAGTAATAAAACTGAATTAATTAATGTGCGAAAAATGTTTTACGTCTTACGGGTGTTGCAATTCAACGTTTTTGCAACGTCTCTTCAACATTGAATCGCTTTGGATGGTTCCAACCTGGTCTCCTTCATATTGATAGACTTCTGTCCTGCCACCGAGTCACACATCTGTGATAGTTTCTTTGTTGTACTTACTTCCTCTAAATTTCTTACAGCACTCTTTCGCATTTTGTATACAGCTGTTTCCTGTCAATATATAACTTTCTGTCGTGACCTCTTCTATAGTAAACAAATTGTACTTGTGACTTGTTAATATAAGAAAGCAAATTAATTTTATGCTTTTAAGATTTTAATGCTAGATAAGAAATGAGGAACAGAACTATTTAGGAGATACAGTTTAGGAGATTTTGTTTAATAATGAGATTAATTTTTTGATTTAATAATGAGATTCTTTATATTTGTCTAGTTTATGGAATGCCCCTACAATTTGGCAAGAAATCGTCAAACGAGAATGCTGGCAGATCTATCGATAGTTGGCTGTTATAACTCCACTCTTAGCAAAACTGATAAAGAACGTCTAATATTAGCTAGTGCTAAACACAACTTACAATTTATGCCTTTCTTCATGCTGACTGAATACCAGAAGGTATGTAATATGTTAAAATATACGCAATTTATTTTTATTGTTATCGTTATTGTTTTTATTATTACTATTTCTAGATAAATATATTTATTGTCTACTATAACTTTTTGTTACAATGCTCATGGTATTTATCATATAAAACTTTTTTTATTGTGTATCAGCATTCAACAGTTGATACTATTTGATATTCTGGAGACGAGAGAACATTTCATGTGGAAAAAAAGATTGTAATCCCTTTTAGAGTGAGATTTCACTTGTGCGTTTTTGTCATACAACAAATATGTGCAGGATAGAGAGGTCCTCGGATCTCTCTATCCTATAACCAATTAACAAGCTTAAAAAATTTCTCATACGACAAAAATGTACAAATGAAATCCCCTTTACACTAACTATGTGTACTGACTGATAACTTTCTGTTAAATTATCTTAATTTTGTCAATACAAGCGTCTTTAATTAATCTTGGTGCATGTTATACCAGCTCGCTTAGTATACCATTTTTTAAATATATTGTCGAAATTAAGATAATTTAATAGAAACTTACTAGTTATGCATATCAAATGCTCAGTGTTCGAGAGCGATTCAGAGCGAGAGCGCTGACGTGAAATTTTAAAGTGATACGTTGACTCAGAACGGCGGAAAAACTGAGAGCGGCGGAAAACTAAGAGTTGCGGAGAACTAAGAGTTGCGGAGAACTAAGAGTTGCGGAGAACTAAGAGTTGCGGAGAACTAAGAGTTGCGGAGAACTAGGAGTTGCGGAGAACTAGGAGTTGCGGAGAACAAGGAGTTGCGGAGAACTAAGAGCGTTAAGAGCGGTATTGCTTCTCGGTTTTGCCTTTTATGCTCTTTTGAGAACCAAGGCCCTTTGCATTCGCCTATGAGATTTTTACACATTGAAAATTTTGAGATGATTCTCTGTGTCGGGTGGCGATTGGCGATTTCGCGCGCGACGGCCAAGCAGCACGCTATTGCCATGCGCGCCCGTTAAATCGGGATTCTTGATTGGGATGAACGCATATTACGCATTTTGCGTCACGCGATCGCGCGTGCGCTACGACCGATCCGAATTGGTTAGCCGTTATAGCGGTTGAAATTTGCGTACGTGCGACGTGCGGTTTAGCTTGTTATTTTTTGACTTTATCGACGAGGTGATAGCCGAGTTTATGTTTTGGAAACTTCTAAGGACGCTTGAGATCCTTCTAGAAGCTTTCGATCCGTATGTCGCACGAACGCCAAATATGGAAATTATGTACATGTTGGCCGTATCTCGAACACTCGGTATAAATTAGAATAATGTATTTAAAAAATAATATACTAAATTGATACAATATGTACAAATGATTAATTAAATATTTATATCATAAATATGTTTACATTTATCATCGAAATTAATAACATTTATAAACAATTTATAAGTAAAAAGATTATATTTTTTATGTAAGCTTTAATCTGCTATGTTTTGAGAGTTCTCGTATTCCTTGTTGAAATTTTCCTAACAGAAAATTCTTCTGACAGAAGAAATATGATTTTTAATGCAAAAAATTTTTTCGCGTTATTATGTTACGTGAGAATATTGCGGGATAGTGGCAAAGTAGCAACATAGTAGCGCGAGTAGGACATAGTAGAGACACTAGTACCGCTCATGGAGCGCTTACTAGTGATCCTTCGAAAGCATGTGATGGCACCTCATACTCAAATAAGTTCCTGCCAGACTTCTTTCTCCTGAATTAGTTGTTCAGTTTTATGAAAACTCTTGTTTATAATTCGATTGATCTGATCTGCCCACCTGGTTAACGATCTGCCTCTAGGACGTTTCCCTTCCATCTTTCTTTCAACAATCATCCTCTCCATTATCCTTATATCTCTCGCCACATGGCCAAAATACTGGAGATAAAGATGATTAATTTTTTGTATCAGTTTGAAGCCGACCCTGAGCTCGTCTAACACCGACTGATTAGTGCGATGTTTAGTCCACGAAATTCTCAGAATTGTCTGTACACCCATAACTCAAAGGCCTCGATTCTTCTTCTATCAGCCTTCTTCATGATTCAAGTCTCCACTATGTAAGTGGCTATGGAAAAATGAGAGCATTCATCAGTTTCAACTTCGTATAATCGAAGTGTTCTTCCATATTCTTTCCAGCTTAGCAGTGGCAGACCTCGCCATACTAAGTCTTTGGCGTATTTCTTTCTCGCATCCTCCATCGTTTGATGAGCAATCCAAGTATTCAATTTCCAAGTAGACAAATTGATTGACAACCTCGTATCCGGCTACCTTTCGAATGTGCGACAAGTTGTTCTGTGCTCCGTCAATTATCATCACATTGGTTTTCCCTTGGTTTAATGTTAGGTCGTGTACCGCTTATTAAACGTAATTTATCCACAATGTCCTCCATTTTCTCTGCACTCATCGCGACTATGAGAATATCAACCGCATATCGTAAATTACTAATCTTCCTTCCCCCAATCGATATGCTTCCTTTCATTTCTCTATAAATCTGACACATTCGCTGTAGATTAAACAGTGAAGGGGACAGAATGCAGCCCTGTCTCACCCATATACTTGAAAGTTATTTGAATATATCTGGTTTATTCGAATCTTTGCTATATTAATAAGCTGCGAATCATTTGGATCAGATGTTTCGGTATTCTTATCTCTTCCAAAATTTTCCAAAAGTTCCATCTCACCTTCATCAAACGCCTTAATATAGTATATAGCAACAAAACAAAGAAACACCGAACGATTGAATTCTCTTGTCTTCTCTATAAGTTGTCTGATATTTAGAATTTGCACTCTCGTACTTCTGGGACAAACCGGCCCGTTCATCCGATGTCTGTGACAAAAGGAACGGTTCAATCGTCCGTGTATAATGTGCAGAAGGATCTTACTAGCGTGCGATATCAGTGCTACCGTTCTATAGTTCATACATTTCAAAGGTGAGCTCTTTTTAAAGATGGGAACAAACGTTGACTCCCATCAATCCACGGTCTCCCATATAATGTTACGTATTCTGTGAATATGTATCCACTCCTTTTTCTTCCATGGCTTTCAAGATCTCAGCTGTTATCCCATCTACTCCCGGAGATTTTCTTTGTTTTAAGAGTTTTATTGCTCTTTCGACCTCTTCGCATTATGCTGGGCTCCCCTAGTGGGTATGCATTTACTATCCATCGGGTCGTAGTCATCTTCATACAGTTCCTAACAGTATCTCTCCTACACCTCCGCAATGCCCATCAAATTATTAACCTCCACTCCTTGTTCGTTCTTCTGATTGTTTGCATTCACGCTATAAAGACAGATATCTGACTTTGTTGAACAATTCATGGCGGTTAGAATACCATTCAAGTTCCACACATATTGATGAGATATATTCATTTTTGTCTCATCTGCTAGCTGTTTTTATATCCTGGTTTATTTGTTCAAGCCGTGTATGTTTACTATCGTCGTCCCTGCTTCGCTTTATGGCTTTTTTCTGTTCAACAAGTTGTAATGTATCATCAGTCCAATGCTTCTTTTTAATAATTCTTGATTTAGAACATTGATTCATGGCGTTCATAATCCTTTGTCTCCTGCCATGCTGTATCTGACCTCCATTTCTGATATCCCCTTATGTTCCAAAGCGATTCGGAATTGTTCCGAGTTTGTCACCACCAACTGTCGTTTGCTGAACTGAAGGTTGTTTTTTCAATTTAATTCTAAACTTAGCCTATAGCAGATTGTGATCTGAGCATTCGCGCCAGGCTTCGTCTTCGCATTAACTATTGAGGACTTCCATCTAGATCTAATTAGAAAATAATCAATTTGATTTTTTGTGTAGTCATCGGGGCTTCTCCATGTTGATAGGCATCTAGGATGATGTTTAAAGATGGTGTTGACATACACACAATAGTCAATTTATTCTCAATAGCGAAATTTAACAGTCGTTCCCCCCTATTGCTCCCCCTTATCGTTTCTCTTTCCAAGGCCATATTTCCCCACAATTGACATTTTTTCCTCTACGGTTTTTCTGACTTTCGCATTAAAATCTCCCATAATTATTAGAGGCTCTTTGGCCGGTATTTTGACTGCTAGCTGTTCTATGGCAGAGTTTCTTTCCACATCCTCCTCCTTCGCTTCCTGCGACCTTCTGCTGAGGTCGGCATATATACTTGTGCAGTCGTGTTAGTTTCGCGTCCAGGGTTATCATGATGAGTCGATCTCTGATGGGGCGATATTCGTACATATATGATATCAACTTCTTGCTGGTGATAAACGCCATCCCATTTCTTTCTGTTTCTTCGGTTCCCGAGATGTATATTGCGTAGTTCGATGTTTGAAAGTGTCCTTTTCCTTTCCAGTGATTCTCAGCTATTCCACATATGTCCATGAGTTTTTCGTCCAGTTCTCTTTTTCGAAATTTCCCTACTTGTAACAGACCACGCACGTTCCAGGTAGTCAAATCAATTGATTCCCTCAGCTGATATCTCTCTTCCAATTTTGCATGCGGAACCTGCTTGTCATCTATCCTAGCATATCCGGTCGCACGCTTCACACCAGATCCATCCGAGCGCCGGTCACTACCCGGTTCACCCGGTAATCCTTATCTTTCATTCCAACATAGAGGTGTGCTCATGGGAAAATAATCGGGTGGTTTCCTGTTGCCTTCCTAATTCTGCCGTTGACCTAATAATGGTTATCCGCTTTTTGGGATGATTTCTTCTCCCCGAGGCAACAAGGCCCCTACTCAACTCTTGGCTAAGTGTGCTTATCCCGACACACTTCCAAGGGTGTTGCCCGCTCTTTCCCGCATGGAGGTTCAACTAATGTGTGTTACTAGTGATGCCGATTCTTAAAAAAAAAAAGATTGATTTTCGGAATCGATCCATTCTTTTAAGTTCGATTCTTAACATCGATTTACAATCGATTAATCGGATAAAAAAGGATCGATTCCGAATAATCTTTTGATTCTTTTCCCAGCAGCCAGTCAATTTCTAAAAAAAAAAGAATAAGTTTGACTTTTTCAAAT